GAAACGACTCGACACAAAGTGAAGATGCTGATCGATGCTGTTGTTGTTTTCACTGCAGGTTCTTCTACCAGTTCCTTCTGGCCAATGAGAGAACGGTCGCCAAGGAGATCAGAGACGAGTACGTGGACACCATGAGCAAGATTTACTACAGTTACTTCAAGTCGTACAGCGGCAGGCTGCTCAAAGTGCAGGTGGGCGAGCAGCGGGGTCGCGCCCTCGCTGCGTTTGTGTCGACGTGGCTGCACGCCGTCTCCGTGTGGATAACGGCTGATGTTTGTGTGTCCCGCAGTACGAGGAGGTGGCAGACAAAGACGACCTGATGGGAGTCGAGGACACAGCCAAGAAAGATATCCTTCACGTCTGTTGTTTGTGTCACGCCCGCTCGCCGTGTGCGCTCGGGCGCTCCGGCTGACGCCTGCTTCGCATTTTCAGACTGTTTGAGGCTCCTTGACTCGCCGCTGCAGGTTTCTTCTCCAAACCGTCGCTGAAGAGCAGGAACACCATCTTCACTCTGGGCCAGAGGGGCGCCATCCTGAGCCCGGCCGAGCTGGAGGGGCCCATCCTGGTCCCGCACACGGCTCAGAGAGGAGACAGCAGGGTGAGAGGCGGCGCTGTCGCAGATCCAGCTCAACCCAAACGCGTCCTGCAGATCTGCCGTTTACAAGAAAATCAAACTCTCAGTGAACAAACCAGCGTCTGTAACACGAGACACGCCCCCTTCAGGACAAACAGGAAGCACGTCCTCACTTTTAATGAACAGCTGATCTGAGCTCTGCTGCTCAGCGCTGACATCTTGTGGCAGATATGAGATTTGTCATTTTCCCTGCAGTTTGGGAGCCGTGACCTCATCACAGACAAAGATGGAAACAGCTGCAGTCTCTGTAGTCAGCTGAAGGGGGCGCCCTTTAAGGGCGTGTCCACTCTGTGATTGACAAGCTGTTGCCGTAGAAACGTGCAGTTTTTGTTGTTGCCTTCAGCAAATTGTGTTTCAGACTCCAAGATGGCGACAGTCACAGCGCTGAACACAAGACTAATGAGTGACATCACAGCGCGTCCATCATTTATCTACAGTCTGTGCAGCCGATCTGTGCCACAGAGGTCGTCTGAGGTCTAACTCGCCCTCTCTCTCTCCACAGTATCCCTATGAGACGCTGTTTCGCAGCCAGCACTACGCTCTGCTCGACAACGGCTGCAGAGAATACCTCTTCCTGTCTGACTTCTTCATGGTGGCCGGAAACTCCGCCCTCGACCTCTTCAACAGCATCATGGGAAAGACTCTCAGCATGTTCCTGGTGAGAACCTCCTGTCAGAGCGGCAGGCTTTCCTCTCCAGCAGAAACGTTTGTTTGGTCAATTCAAACCACATTTATTATCCGACTTTGTCACAAACAGATTTCAGACTTTGGATCATGAGCAGCGTGTTGTGTTTTGCTATCACTGATGTAACAGGACACGCTGGTATAAACAGCTGTGAGTTTGTCACTAAGCAGAATCCTCGGGTGATAAAATAAACACATGTTCAGCAGAGAGGAAAATGTTGAGTTTTACTCTGCAAACACCTCAGTCCTGGAAATGCTGAAGAAATTCAGGTAACAGGGAAGTGCATACAGCGATGTTTTTAAGTGGAGCCACAGTGTTCCTGTAGGTAACACTGGGGGTCAGAGTTCAGGTTACATGAAACCAAACTTAAAGTCATAAAAACCAAAAAA